AAAGTGTCTTGGTCTTCTTATCCTCTGTTACTTCGTTTTCGGCAAATTAAATTAAAGGGGTCGGTGCAGAAGTCTTTGCACTTGGCAAAGAATGTCAAAGAGCCTGTCCAGAAATATGGTAAGAACATTAATATCTGGTTTTTTAGGCATCTGACGAATCTCAGTGCTAGTGTTAATCATTCACAATTATTATCAAATTTATTATTAAAATTATTGTCTTGAAGCCCTCCTTTGCTACTCCCGTTCCTGAAACACCAATTCATTCCCAGAATATGCCCGGTGAAGATTCATCTGTGGCAAATTCAAATCCAACTGCTGATGTTAGATTGTTTTGTTAAAACGAAATCCAAACAATGTTATCGATAATAACAGTACACAATCCGGTGCTGGGTCTAGTACTCTCATTTCATCCATCGATTTGATGCAAACCCCATGCAGATCTGATTCTTCATCACCAAATCTTGAAGTTGAATTAACGCCTGAGCAAAGTGCACATCTTGGAGAAATAGATTTCAATACAGGTCTTGATGGTTTCTTGCTGGCAGCACTAAAGAATCCCAAAGATAGATTATTTCTCTTAAAACTAGACAGAGAAATGGAACGGTTTATTAACGATAAAAAGTATTATTTTAGAACTTTTAATGGTTCATTAATTTTAATTTTATTTCAACAAATTGCTTAATTTCTTTAACTTTATCAGTCATACAAGATTGGAGTTTCCACCCATGAATTCCTATCAACGACTAATCGTCCATCGTGTTGCACAATATTTTAAATTATCACACGTTGTTGACAGCAGCGGAAAGGCTGTCGTCTTGTACAAATCATCCGATACACAAATGTATGCATTATCTTTCAAATAAATAACTAATACAAATGTTTACATTTTAAGATTAATCATACAAAATATATACACTTAGACCAATCCTTCGATTTTCGGATCTTCTTGAGCAAGAGGAGGAAAAACCGGAGAAATCAGTAAAGATCATGAGACGACAACAGATAAATGCTCAATCACAACTTCGATCTACTGGTGATTCTGACAGCAATTCCGAAGGGGAACGCAAAATTTTAACTATTGAAGAACGGGAAGCTGCATACCAAAAAGCAAGAGCAAGAATATTTAAAGATTTGGAGCAAAAGAACGAGGAGAATGAACAAGATGAAAATGAAGAATCTATGTCTTCAAGTCCAAACACAAAACATTCTAATATCTCAAATAACAATGATCAACAAAACAGTGACTTGACTTCTTCAAACAAATCAAAAAGCGCTCAACAAACCAAGAGCGCAAATGCAAACAATAATAAAAATAGTAAACAGTCACAACAAACAAATAAAACTGTAGGAAGTAACAAAAACTCAACTAATAATAAAACTAGTGTAAATACTGTAAAGAACCGGCAACAACAAACACAAAGGTTACAAACGATTAATTTCAATCTTCCAATTGATCGTTCATTTTATATGTCTAAACAACC